GAAACGGAGACTGATATGTAGAGAATTGGCATGCTTATAAGTCCGCACTGGAGATCTATCAAACGTTTAGGCAGAAAATTGCCAAGGAAAGGATCTATGATAATACTCGGGATAGTTTTCTACTGTTTGAGGCCAGGACGGGAGTATTGCGAACCAAGACATATCGGGCCAAATACGGTGGTGGTGGTAGTGGTTAGAAGATGAGAAAAGGCACCTAATTTCTGCAACCCGGTCGGGAGCACGGCACAGTGCCTCCAAATACGGAGGGGTAGACACGGTATGCAGTGCGTGTGGAGAGGAGGAGGAAACTGCCAAACACTTGATAATGTTCTGTAAAGGGCTTCACCCTGTAGTTAAGGATGATGGCGCAGGGTTTTTCAAAGCACTAGTGTTTAGGGACAGGGAGGGCAAAATAGACTTTAAGCGGGTAGAATTAACTAAAAGGGGATTATCCCATTGGTAGCTAAAGTCAAGCCACGAGTGAAAATTAAAACTTTCATTGCAAAGTACCAGTGCTCAACCTCACCATATAAAGAAAAAAAAAAGATCAATCTAGTTTTTGGTTTACTAAACATTTTGGCTGGGTGTAGCCACCACCTGATTTAAAGGGCACAGCTATATCATTCCATCCATCCATTCATAGCAGACGATGCACGGTGGTATGCACTTGTGCGTGCGCGTTTCTGCAATTTTTTGTTTGTTTATTACGGGTAGACCGAGCAACCCACAAATTTGACGAATTGAAGCAACATTCTAGCTGTGAAAAGCACCGTGGTGATTGGCTCTGGGATTTTCATTACAGTAACTCCATCTGCGTGAGCGCTTTTGGGTCCCCGTCTAAGCGCAGGCGAACGCGAGCAATATGCGACACACCGATAGGCGTATTTGCAGCTTAAGGCGCGAAAACGACACGGACGAAGAGAGACAGTACACACACACGGAGCGCCACTTCCAACAAAGATTTATTTCGAAAGAGCACAGAACATATATAGACACCGCGCGCGCCGTCACCGTGCCTTAATGCGCAGCCGCATTTAAGTAGCGTAACTCCTTTGGCGATAAAGAAATGGAGGCTACGCTGACACACAGATCACCTAATTCGATTATTCTCTTGGCCTCAATGATTAGTCTTACTGATTTATCAGGGCTTCGGGCGACTACCGCGCAGGCGCTAAAGTTAGGAACGCAATGACAATCCCGGCAGTGAATTGCGAGGTGGCCCTCTCTGCCATTTCTGACGTTGTTATTATGCTGTCTTAGCCTATCATTCAGGCATTGCTCGGTATGGCCTACGTACCATCTACCACACGAACAGGGGAACTCGTAGACCACACCCTTCTGACAAATTACATACTTGTTCTGGTGATTCACATTGCAGGCCGGAGCTTTCCTGAGAAAGGGGTTAGTCAACTTGCAGAGCCTGGAAAGTTTTAACGGCGCAGAGAAGACCACCTTTACATCAACCTGTTCGGCAATCTTTTTCAGATTATGGGATACGCGGTGTATATAAGGAATCACAGCAAGCTTAACATTATCCTGGGGTGACCCTTCGCTTGTGTGGCAGTTCCGCGACTTCTTCAAAATCTTCTCCGCCACTGACACCAAAGTGTGCTGTGGATAGCCCGCCTGCTCAAGACGGTCAACCTGCTTGAGGAAACTGTCTGCTGCTCTGTGTGGGCAGGATTTCTTGAAAGCATTCAGCAGGCACATGTTGGCTATGCTACGTTTGACAAGCTTAGAATGGGACGAGCTAAAAGGTAGTAATGGTTTGTTAGCACGAGGCTCATACTGCCAACATGTATGATCAGTTGTTACAAACAATCTAAGATCTAAAAACCTTATAGTCGAATCGACCGAAAGTTCGTGTGTCACTATTAAGGGCGATAAAACAAGCCTAAAAATTGTTAAGGTGTTAGTAACGACTTGGTCGGTGTCCATGAACTTTTTGTCTATGAGAACTAAAAAATCATCTACAAATCTAAAAACCCTGATGACACCGCTACCTTCGAGAAGGCTAGAAATGGTCCTGCCTGCGCGAGCTAAAAACAGGTCACTTAAAAATGGCGCTAAACAGGAACCTATACAAACGCCACTCTTTTGCAGGTATAGGTTACCGTCCCACTCTACAAAAGTCGACCTCAAATACAATTCTAGCATTGCCATGAATTTTCCCTCCGGTATACCTGCGTCATTTTGAAATGACAGGGGGCCGTATTGGTCAATGCTGTCCTGAACACACTGAAGCAACGCATTTTTCGGTATAGAATAATACAAGTCTTTCAGATCAATGGAAAAGGCGTCAAGGGCTACCCCTACTTGCCCGGCAAGAAAGTTTACTACTTCGCTGGAATCTTTCACCCGATAGGGATCGTCAACCTTAAGAAGCCGGAACTTATCGAGCAGGAAGACGGCAAGGCATTTCTGCCAAGTGTTACGTTCTGACACGATTACTCTGAGGGGGCAACCCTCCTTATGAGTCTTTGCACTGAAGAAGACCTCGAGAGTGCCTGATTTGCTGTTTGCGACGTCCCTAACCAACTTTGAAAGGTTCATACTCTCACATAGTTTTTTAGCTTCACTTTTTAGTTTGTTGATCTGGACGTTCTCGCGGCATTGAAATACAGAACTCAACGCTTCAAGCGCTTTCACCTTGTAAAGGTCCCGTGGGAAGACGGCGAATCCACCTTCCTTGTCCGAAGGGAGAACGCAGTATGAGTTCGTTTTCAGGTAGGACGCCAAACGACGAACAATAGGACGCCTTGGTTCCCGTTGGTCACGTAGAAGTACATCTACACCACTAGAAACACATCTATCCATTTCACTCGCGGGAGCTAGGCCAGACACCTTGTCAAGGTGAGCTAGGCCAGACACCTTGTCAAGGCGGGAGCTAGGCCAGACACCTTGTCAAGGCGGGAGCTAGGCCAGACACCTTTACAAGGTGAAAGCGCTTGAAGCGTTGAGTTCTGTATTTCAATGCCGCGAGAACGTCCAGATCAACAAACTAAAAAGTGAAGCTAAAAAACTATGTGAGAGTATGAACCTTTCAAAGTTGGTTAGGGACGTCGCAAACAGCAAATCAGGCACTCTCGAGGTCTTCTTCAGTGCAAAGACTCATAAGGAGGGTTGCCCCCTCAGAGTAATCGTGTCAGAACGTAACACTTGGCAGAAATGCCTTGCCGTCTTCCTGCTCGATAAGTTCCGGCTTCTTAAGGTTGACGATCCCTATCGGGTGAAAGATTCCAGCGAAGTAGTAAACTTTCTTGCCGGGCAAGTAGGGGTAGCCCTTGACGCCTTTTCCATTGATCTGAAAGACTTGTATTATTCTATACCGAAAAATGCGTTGCTTCAGTGTGTTCAGGACAGCATTGACCAATACGGCCCCCTGTCATTTCAAAATGACGCAGGTATACCGGAGGGAAAATTCATGGCAATGCTAGAATTGTATTTGAGGTCGACTTTTGTAGAGTGGGACGGTAACCTATACCTGCAAAAGAGTGGCGTTTGTATAGGTTCCTGTTAGCGCCATTTTTAAGTGACCTGTTTTTAGCTCGCGCAGGCAGGACCATTTCTAGCCTTCTCGAAGGTAGCGGTGTCATCAGGGTTTTTAGATTTGTAGATGATTTTTAGTTCTCATAGACAAAAAGTTCATGGACACCGACCAAGTCGTTACTAACACCTTAACAATTTTTAGGCTTGTTTTATCGCCCTTAATAGTGACACACGAACTTTCGGTCGATTCGACTATAAGGTTTTTAGATCTTAGATTGTTTGTAACAACTGATCATACATGTTGGCAGTATGAGCCTCGTGCTAACAAACCATTACTACCTTTTAGCTCGTCCCATTCTAAGCTTGTCAAACGTAGCATAGCCAACATGTGCCTGCTGAATGCTTTCAAGAAATCCTGCCCACACAGAGCAGCAGACAGTTTCCTCAAGCAGGTTGACCGTCTTGAGCAGGCGGGCTATCCACAGCACACTTTGGTGTCAGTGGCGGAGAAGATTTTGAAGAAGTCGCGGAACTGCCACACAAGCGAAGGGTCACCCCAGGATAATGTTAAGCTTGCTGTGATTCCTTATATACACCGCGTATCCCATAATCTGAAAAAGATTGCCGAACAGGTTGATGTAAAGGTGGTCTTCTCTGCGCCGTTAAAACTTTCCAGGCTCTGCAAGTTGACTAACCCCTTTCTCAGGAAAGCTCCGGCCTGCAATGTGAATCACCAGAACAAGTATGTAATTTGTCAGAAGGGTGTGGTCTACGAGTTCCCCTGTTCGTGTGGTAGATGGTACGTAGGCCATACCGAGCAATGCCTGAATGATAGGCTAAGACAGCATAATAACAACGTCAGAAATGGCAGAGAGGGCCACCTCGCAATTCACTGCCGGGATTGTCATTGCGTTCCTAACTTTAGCGCCTGCGCGGTAGTCGCCCGAAGCCCTGATAAATCAGTAAGACTAATCATTGAGGCCAAGAGAATAATCGAATTAGGTGATCTGTGTGTCAGCGTAGCCTCCATTTCTTTATCGCCAAAGGAGTTACGCTACTTAAATGCGGCTGCGCATTAAGGCACGGTGACGGCGCGCGCGGTGTCTATATATGTTCTGTGCTCTTTCGAAATAAATCTTTGTTGGAAGTGGCGCTCCGTGTGTGTGTACTGTCTCTCTTCGTCCGTGTCGTTTTCGCGCCTTAAGCTGCAAATATGTTAAACCAACAAGCCCAGTCTGCTATTCTTACACCGATAGGCGCGATCGGCGTCCACGAATCCCACAAACGGCGAATGCGTTTCTAGCCGAGGAGGTCGTGCTCATAACGAGCCTCATGCCGCCGCCGGTCGAAAGTGCCTCGGCGCACACCTCTACTAGAGTGTACTAGTACACACTAACTCTATATAGGTGTTCTCTGACCACGGTGGTTGAGTTAAGGGTGCGACCACCGTGGTTATAACTTTGGTCATCAAATAATTTTGGCCTAGCTGCATTCCACAGGCCAAAGTTATTTTCCTTCCTTCATTAGGCGTATCAAGTTTGTTGCTCGCATTCTGAGCGCGTCTTAATTCATTCAGTCTTCGGCAACGCGTAAATTAAAAAAAGACCTGCGAGCAGTTGGACGTGACGTGACGCTGCTGCTTCAATCGGTCGACTAAGCGGCTCATTAGCATAGCTCACGGCGTTCTCAAGGGAAGCCCATTTGAGCTTGTGCCGGCCAACGCCCTGCGTCTATGGTGCCGCCATCTGCCGCTTACCATCATCATTCGCTGTAATCTGTGGTGGTGATCGTGTAAACATCAGCGGCAAAGCGAAGCGACCCACCTTCAAGAATGCAATCGGCGGACCAATGAAAACCCCGGGCCTGTCAAGACGCACTTGGTACGTGATGACATGCATTACTGCATATTACCCAGCGCAATACAAACCTGAACACCTAGGCCTAACGCACTGAGACCCGCACGACAAGCAAACGGACAACATGCGCCACCTATGTCCCGGCAAACATAACTAAAATCGGAACTCTCCCAGGCGGCAATTTCAAATAGAAACTGGTGCCCAGCCTTAAGAATAGCCTATCGGTAACATATAGCAAATAGAGGCAGAACAACAACACAAATCGAACATCACACCTACACAAAATAACACTACCATTTTATGAGAAATTATAGCAACATGACCCGGACTCGCCGAGGTGCCCCAACAAAAGGAACCAGTGCCCGTGTAGAGGAGGACTCGTCGGACGGAACAGTAATGGTAGAATGTGAGACCTGCCAAGAATGGGCAAACATTGATGACACCCCGTTCTCCAGCACACAAGAAGCCCAGGCAGGCAGATACACGTGCAACCTCTGCACGAGACTCGCAGCAATGCAGGCTTCAATCGCACTTCAAGAAATAAAACTGCGTGCCGAACACTCACAACAAATTAGCCAAATAAAGGCCGAGTGGGAAGCTGCTCAAGCGGAAGCTAAAATAGATAGGCAAAACCTACACACTTTGCTGAGCACAGAGCGCAACTTGCGTGAAAAACTCGAGGAAGAGATTGGTACCCTCCAAACCCAAATAAAAAAACTCGAACAGACAAACAGTACTCAGGACGCCCAAGAAAACGGAGACCAGGCTACCTCAACTCCTCGACACGACTCCGGGACACCAGAGCCAAAACACCCCTCAGACAAGCAATTTCGCAGCCAATGGAAGGAAGACATTCCATCACAGGGCACAAGCAGGATAAGTGAAGACATTGAGCACACAGTTGAGCTAGCAGAGGAAGGCAATCCTGGGACACAAGTGGGCAAAAAAGGCCGACCCTTGAAATCAGAGAACACCAGCCAGAAACAGCAGCAGCTCAGCGCTGACCATAAACAGAAACATCCCTATCCTCAAACGCAGTCAAATGACCATCCACCACAAAGCAAACGCACTGTAGTCCTAGGCGACTCCAATGCCCATCGATTGAAAAAGCACCTCCGTAAAGCTATACATGATCAAAGACTACGCATCACTACAAAATCTGGTGCCAATCTTGAAGAAACACTTCACCGAGCTGAAGGAGAAATTCAGAAGGCAAATGCCACCAACACAGAGCTGCAACTAATAATACATGTAGGTACTACTGATCTTTTAAATAAAGCAGACATTAAAAAGACCACTGACCACCTGAAGCAACAACTGACTTACTGGAGCCAAAAGACACCCAAACACCACTACATAGTCAGTGCCATCCCTGAACCGAAAGCAAGGGGTCAACAATTTGCTACAGCATGCCAAACATGGAACACGGCAGTTCAAACGGCGTGTACAGCCTTGGGCCCCAGTGTGCGGTTTATGTCAGCAGCCGCCCAGCTAACCGCAGATCACCTGGATGATATCCACTACTCGGAACAGGCAGCGGACCAGGTTGGCAGCCAACTAGGTGAGGCCATTAAATCTTTTTTATGGGACAAACAACCAACGCGCCCACAACACTGGAGACGATCAACAAGACCAGATCAAAGGACAGTGCAAACGCTACTGAAAGCAATGACAACAGCCCTAGGCAAACTAGGACAGAGAAACCGGCACTGGTAAGCAACCAAGCAGGCAAAACCATACGCACAACCCCCCCCCAATTTCAGTCCTCCAGAGATCATTGTCAACCACTTTCCAGAAAAAGAAGAAACAGAAGAACAAAGCAGAGTGAAGTGAAAAAAGAACTCACCATATGCCTACTAAACATGCAAGGAACAAACAAACTCAAGTGGGCTGAACTCCAAGACCAAGTGAACAGACAAAAAATAGATATCTACGCTCTAACGGAAACTCACCTGCGGGACGACGAACAACCTCTGCTCCCGGGGCTAGTATGGCAAGGAAAGAACAGAAGTAAAGGACAAAAACGGGGTGGAGGCATTGGTTTTATTACACCGAAGAGAAGCACTGTAAATGGGGACTGCCAGGACAAGGAACACATGTGGATAAAAATAAAGATTGACACACGTGACCTGTACATTTGTGTCATATACATGGCAACAGGCCTCGAGGAACAAAAGTGGAATGACAGCATTTACGCATGCCTCAAGAAAGACATTGAAGAAACCTACAAAGGCCAACCGGTACTACTGATGGGAGATTTCAACTGCCACATAGTAGAATTGGATGGTCACGAAAAAGATGCTGCTGGCTTCCGAAAATTAATTAAACAATGCAACCTACAAATAGCAAACCTCCATCCAGCTTGTGAAGGCACCTACACATGGTCACGCAGAGCTAACAAATCTGCTATAGACTACATACTTTACAATCAAGAGGTAGTAAGGCAAGATATAAACATCACAGCTCTGTACATAGACGAAGACAAAACAAACAGCTGTGGAAGTGACCACAACCGAATGAAACTGTGCCTCAGACGCCATCAACCCCATCGAGTAAACCGGCCTGAAACTACAAAAGCTCACTGGCGAGTGAAAGAGCAAGAGCGCCTGGATGAATTTTCCAATAAACTCGAGTCAACATTAACAGAACCTCTAACATACGAGGAATTCGCAGAAAAATGCCTGTCAGTAGCACAAGAAACCATTGGGAAAACTAGTGAAAAAAAAAGGACCAGAAACACACCTTGGTTTGATGGAGAACTGAAGACAGAAATTCGCATTCGCAAAGAATTATCCAGAAGGCACCGTCATACGCCCAATGAGTCGACAGAAAAAGAGGTAATTTGGAAGGAATACCTGGCCCAAAAAAGAAAAGTAAAGGAAATGGCCGCAAAAAAGATAGACCAGAAATTCCAAAAAGAAGAAGAAAACCTGCATAAGGATCGTAACCATTACAGTCAGAAGTTTTGGGCATACATAAGGACACTGGAACCAAAGGACACCCTTCAGGAAGATTCACTCATACTACTTACTGAAAATAGCATTCCTCTACATACCAAAGAAGAAATTGAACAGCACATAACTAAACATTTTAAAAATATGCAAACCAATCCAGTAGATCCACCACCCCAGATCAGCAGTAGAAAAAAGGACAAGACCAGCACACCTGAAGAAGAAAAGCTGACTGGACCAATTTCTAAACTAGAACTAAAGAGACGCATAAATGATCTAAAAAACCAGAAAGCAACAGGACTCGATGATATACCCAACGAATTCCTGAAAGCATTCAAAACAGAGGCAAAGGAAATGCTACGCGGCTGCCTCAACGACATTCTGGCAAGCAGAAAAATACCAAGAACTTGGAAAGAAAGCCGGGTAAAGCTGATTCACAAGGGAAAGGGAAAGGAAACAAGTGACATTGGGGCGTATCGCCCCATAACAATACTGAGTAGCATTCTGAAACTCTTCAATACAATCCTGAATCGCAGGCTACAAAACCACTGTGAAAAAACCTTAATCTTGTCAGAATCGCAAAATGGATTTCGCCCAAACAGACGGACAAGTGACCATATCTTTACCCTAACCCAGGCAATAGAAATGAAAAACAGAGACAAATCTCAACTATACCTGGCATACCTGGATCTACAACAAGCATATGACTCAGTGCCGCACTCACGACTGTGGGAGAAGCTAGAAAAAATTAATATTGAGGAAGACTTCATCAAATTACTAAAAGCACTATATGCAGAGTGTACGGCAGTGTATGAACTGGGCAAATATAAATCTAGACAGGTGCAACAAAATATTGGACTCAAACAAGGGTGCCCACTATCGCCAACATTATTCAATATTTACATTAACAGCCTACTAGAACAAGTAAATAGAGAAGGACCAGGGCTACGTCTTTCCACCGTAACAACTGAGCGCCAAGAAATCTACACTAAAATTTCATGCTTGGCATTTGCCGATGACATCGTATTATTGGCTGAATCCCCAGCGGACCTGCAACATCTCCTCGACATATGCTCTCGCGTAGCCCACGAAGATTGCCTCACATTCAACACTGACAAAACACAATGGATGGGCATAAACATTGATGACAAAGACATAACATTCACCATCCAAGGCAACACCATCAAGAAAACAGCAACATACAGATATTTAGGCATAACAATATCAGACCAAAAGAATTACCTTGACAAACACCAAGAATTACTCCTAAAACAATCCAACCGCCTAAAAGGTAGGGTGTGGCACCTGTCACGGCATTCCTACAACCCCTACAGGGTAGGCCGCACACTTTGGAAGACTCTTGCCGTGCCTGCAATAACCTACGCAGGTGACACATTGGCGTACTCTACCCAAACAGTGCGATGTTTGGACCGCCACCAAAATGAACTGGGGCGCTGGCTACTGGGAGGCAGCTTTGCAACAGCAAACGCAGCAGTAACAGGGGAGTTGGCCTGGTCAACTTTCGAAGCACGCGAAGCAAGGTCAAAAATACAATATGCGGGCCGGCTAAAGTTTCTACCAGAAACAAATTACAGCCAGCGCATATACCTACACCTCCGATACAGGGGCATAAAACACAGTGGATGAAACGACTGGCTTCTCTGGAAAATAAATTCGGCCATAACACAAAACTGGAAGAAGCAAAATCGGAACGAGAATGGCGTATAATAACAAAAAACACTATAACCGAAGCCAGCACAGAGATGTGGCGCACGTCGGCGGCAAAGAAAAGGAGCCTACAGTTATACCTCGAATACAAGCAGGCTCCAGACCGTGAGCCATTTTACAGGGGCGACCGGGAAAGCGCCCTCCTGTTCCAAGCCAGGACGGGGTCACTGCCCACGCGGAAGCGGCATTGGGAACTGTTCGACACGGACCCGTCGTGCCGCCTATGCGGGGCCACGGAAGAAACCATCCAACATATCCTGATGGATTGCCCGCGACTCGGAGCGAGGGACCTACCCAAGATAAACCTGGCGGAATATCTGGGTCTCCCAGATGATCCCGTCGACACCCGAGTCGAACACACCGAGAGTGCCAAGCGACGTCTAAAACTCTGGGACAGACTGTGCTGGCAGGTGGACAAACACCCCGACAGTGTCCAGCGCAACGAAGGGCCGACAGAAAATATCTAAACGACGCCGACGCCACTGGATAGACTTGGCCGAGGGCACGTTTCCCCTGGTGGCGAAACGGGCAATTTACTACCAGACCTTTCTTTCTTCGAACAGTAAAGTGGAAAACGTGTGAGTGCGTGTTCGCGTGAAGTGCGTGTAAAACACAAAATGTTTTTTTTTTTTTTGACGGTGGCGCGGCAAGCGCCTGACTGGTGATGTGTGTGTGCGTGTGTATGGATGTGCGTTGAAGCGCACAACTTTGTCCTGTGGCGCTGCTGGCGCCTGCCCTGTGCCAAAAGGGATTAGGAGCACCTACTTACTTACTTACTTACTTACATTCGCTGCTCGCATGGTTGCTCCTACGTGTTCCGACTCGTACCAACCAACGGATATGCTTGCTCGAATGTGTTTCAAGCGGCTGTAACGAAGATGGTGCTAGTGACTTTTGGCACCGTGCTGCTCGTCATGTGCCATGTCGGTAAGCGAGCGGCTGTCACTGTGGCGTGCATTATGTTTTGATCAACACATGCGTCCATGGTCCTCAAAGTTACCCTCGATATCATTTCTACTTTTATTCTGTCAAAGGGATGAGTAACGCCGGACGATCCATACATGATCTTTTGTGATGTGTCAAGTATTGCTTCGTACTACGCCACTTATTCCAGCCTGATACCTAAAACTATAGTTGCTAGAAGGTTTTCTAGCTGCTGTACTAAAACAGCGCTACTAGGCACAAAGCAGGCCGTGCTTAGCGTTCCGCGCAGAGCGATCGGAAGTGCTCGAGTCAACAGTGGTGCCTCGTCGCTTGCGATGCGATTCGTTGATTAACATGAGACTTCACCTTTTAGAACATAGTGCAGTAATATTCGCCTTACTATAAAACGCCTTACGAAAATGCATTCATTGAAGGCGTTTCCTGCTCTACGCACGTTCACCCCTCCATGTTCCTGTGTGAAAGTATGCGTGCACCGCAAATACTTATCAAAAAGAATGTTATGTGAAATGCACCGCTGATGGCCCGGTGCACGACGATCGCTTGATCCCTGACAGAAGTGATAGTGGCAAAATCATGAGAACCGCAAAGGGGTTCCAAACGTAAAAGTAAAAAAAAAAAAAAATGTTAGTTGGGTCTAGCTTGACAACAACACAAAACCGGCTTGTTAATCGTTCTGATCCGATTGGCAGCTGTGGCGCAGTACAATAAAAAAAAATGCAGCTGTGGCGCAATAGGTCAAAGCGGCACAGTAAGGGCTGGTGAGGTTGGCGGTTCGAGCCTCATTGCAGTCTTTGTTACTTTTTTTTGTTCGCGCATGTATTGTTTAAACATTTATGCGGCCTCATCGGCCTCCCGTCATCCCGACTTACTGCTGCTGGTGGTGGTCTTATTCACAGGCCCTTTAATATTAGATCTTTGATGTTGTAGAACTGGCTATGTTTATTATGATATAGTGTTTTGCGAGCTATTGCTCTTGATCGGCGAGACGCAAAACGACACGAAAAATTCAAATGCAGCTGGCTGCATTGGTTTCTCCGGCACACGTGTTAGGAATGTCGATTTCCACAGTTTATCAATGTTTTGATGACAGAAAGGCTCACTGCAACGTAGTCTCAGGAATCTTTTTTTATGTCGCTCAGTGTACCATCACCTGGCGAGGTAACCTGCAGGCCGCTTCAAAATACTGACGTGCCACCACAATGTTCTAGGCAATCAGCACTTGATGAACGACGCCCAAGGGGAAGTGCTAACGGCGTTAGCCCATCTAACTACAAAACAGCTTGTCTGCCTTGCTGAATAACATGCGCTGCCTGTGACAGCACAGGATCATTTACGTAGCAACGGATGAGAACGGCCGTACGTGTTCGCACTTAACAAAAAGCCGGCAAAGCAGTAGCTTTGGCGTTCGGAGATCATAGGCTTCATAAGAACACTACAATAAAGTTGTTTCCATCCTTTGTAAGAACACTTCGCAGACGCACTGGGATTTCATGCATGTGCGTCCAGTCAGTCACGCGTGAACTGTGCAAAAGCATTCATTTCATCGTCGACCTTGCCCTTCGCAACCATCAAATCTCGGCAGCAAGGACAATTTTCCTTTGACAACACCTCACTTGGCATTGCAATCTAGAAAATGCAGTGCGTCCAACTACAATAAGCCGCACTTCATACTGAGAAACTTCATGGCACACACACTCAGATAAAGCTGCGGCGCGGTGGACGGCCGCGCTAGCCCCAACCTCCAGGTTCAACTAGGCATCCAGCAATTACACGAAGCAGCGACAACAGAGGGTCTCCGGTCCTCCTTGGAGGTGGCTTAAGCCATGGCCATGGCCACGACTTTGTCGGAGTTTTTACCACCAATACGCATTGAAGGCAGCTACCATTTTGCAGCCGTAGTGCCCATGGTGCCTTCTGTATTTAAGATACTTGTAATATGTGTTTAATGAACAAATATAGGTTGATTGACTTGCCAAACACCTGCTTAGTAAAATTTTTGAAGGTTTAACACATTATAAATTAATAATTTACACATTTATATAGCTTTGATAATAATCTTTAAAGGGAAGTCACTTCCGTGCGGCGCAGGAGCCACTTCTGTGTGGGGCTGGCTGCTGCAGCGCTGGAGACGCTGCCATAAACATTGGCCGTCATTCTTCCCTGTAATGTAAATGTCCAGCAAAGTGGCATAAACACCACACATGCTGGGTGAGGCAGGGGTATGTCTTGTATTACTTCAGAGTAAGGCGAGTTGCTGTGGTAGAGCGTGATGGGTTCTGCACATTTTATTGTTTAACAGCAAATAAAGACACACACATCGCTTGGTTGTCCTCGCTCCATGCGCCGTGAGACTACTGCACCAGCTAGCCCAACGCTCTACCTTATACCCTATTGAAAATCCTAGGTAATGGTGGATGCCGAAATCGTTGGTGGATATAGTAGAAAGAGTGCTGGATATGGTGGAAATAATAGTGGATATGGTGGAAGCTGTAGTGGTCATAATGGCTGATGACGGCGAGAATGGAAATAATGGTGGCAGAAGGTGGTGGGGTGGTGAAGCAAAGGGCGGTGACAGTAGAAAATTCCAGCTCTGGGTGGTGATGCAAAACATGTTTGGTGAAAGGCTTGGTGAACAAGCTGAATGACGGTGGCGTGATGGAAGCTTTGTGAATGATGGTGGAATAATGAAAAAGCACATGACAGTATGTGAAATCATTTATTTATAGTGTTTCATTCTTGAATGCTCAGAGTAGTATCTTTATGGTCAAAAGAAACCAATGCTGCTCATTATGCTTTCTAGCACGTTTCTTTTAAATTCCTGCGGTGTCAACAACGCCTCAATTTTTGTGGAGCGTAGAATGCGACCGTGAATGTTTACACTTTTGCACATACTTACATCAGTTTGACATGCGCAATATGTTCCTTTGTTGTGATGTTCAGTAAACTTCAGAGGAGATTTATAAATCTCCTCAGAAGTTTACTACAACAGAAGACTAGAGGTGTCGCTGTGAACAGTGACAGTAAATGTTTTACACCGCTGCGCAGTTGTCGATAAATAAATGAGCTCCAGTTCGCAATTGCCCCTTCAGCGGTAGACCGGAATACAGCGATCACTTGATGTCGTTACTCTAGAAACGCAACTCTGGCAATTCTTGCACACTCAATTGCTTGAGCCGTACTTTTCAGTTAAAAAAGTGCATGCGACTCTAAAATGCATAAACTTTTATCTTCGATATGCGTCGAGACGAGCCCCAACGAGTTTAACTCATGTCGTTCTACGACCATGATTTACGACACCCTTCGTTCTACGACCATGATTTCCGCCAAGTGTTATCGGCTCTTCTGGGTTGCAGAATACACAATTTCGGCAAGTAAGAATGACAATACAGCACATCCGTGGCATCATTTAGCCTAAATGAAGCCTTTTTTTTTATTGTCCACTGTGTCCTCTCTAGAAGCGACCATCATCGACGTGACGCTGTTATCACTTCTATCAAACGTACGCCTCCCCTTACCGACATCCGCCGGTCGCACTCGCTGGCACTTCTCTGGCTCTTATGCAAGAAGACGGACTTGCCAATTCGTATGCTATACCATAATATATCCGATGCACTGCATTCGTTTTGGCCAACCGGCTGCGGCGGCTGCATTTCCGATGGAGGCGGAAATGTCGAGGCCCGTGTGCTCAGATTTGGGTGCACGTTAAAGAACCCCAGGTGGTCAAAATTTCCGGAGCCCTCCACTACGGCGTCTCTCATAATCATATGGTGGTTTTGGGACGTTAAACCCCACAAATCAATCATCGTTTTGGCCAAGCCGTTATGTAGTTGTTGCTAACGATAGAGCTACAGCAGTGCACTAGCAACAGCTACAGGTGCTGGCTCGTGCAGTTATGTTTCCTTCGATGTAGTGAGACGGGAGGGCCGGGGTCTCCTTTTTGTTTTCCACATTTCGTTTCGGTGCCAAAACTTACCCGGTCGTCTGGCCATCGACTTTCATCAATCGGCCTACTATGAATTGTGGGGGAGCATGCGCGCTCAGCCTCCTTTTCCTTTTTACGGCAGTGCGAAAGCCTAGTTGCGGAAATACCCGCATGGCCGGCGCTCCCGATTGCCCCCTTTTCCGGCACGTGGAACGGGTTTCCCCACCTCAGGGAGAAAAGGTATTATTCTTGTCAGGGAGAGGGAAACCGGGGAAGAGGACAAATCTGGCGTGCGGACGGCCGCACGGTCTCTCTGACACCGGCCCGGAACGAAGGGGGTCGGACCCGCAACCCCCCCCCCCCCCCCCCCTCGCGAGCCGAAGACGTCAACAACGGAGTGTCTACTCTTGTTTCTTTACTATCTCCTCTCGACATTTGCGCGCTTTTGCTAACGCCTAGCAATAAAGTGTCGTTTTGTTGATTTTGCCTGTTGCCTTATTCATCCGAACCCGTGTAGATGCAATGACACGAGCTACGGATAGGGGACGTTAATCGTGCACGGTACGACTGTGTGTGGCTGAAACATTAGTTAGGCTTCTGTGTCAGCGGTACATAGGACAGACGCCCTACAGAATATAGCATGATTTCTACCGAACTGCCATCACTAAGGCCACCTCGGCGCTCAATGCCTTATTAGCCGACTCAGGGACGCTAGCTTTCTGGCTGCAGAAGGTCCTCACTATCATTGTGACGAAAAACGCCTCCCTGAACAATGTCGACAGGGAAATCCAGGCTGACCTTGACTACGACGAGGACTTGGAAAGAGACCTGGCCACAGCCAGCGAGTGCGAGGACAAAGTTGTCTGCACTCAAGGGAGAGCTTGCTGCGGCCACGAACCCTACCCGCATTCGTCACCGACACAACCAATGCACCTAGTAATCCACTCGCATCGACATCAGAGCCTGCTGAAACTTTCTCTTCAATCATGTCCTCAGCCCCTCTCGCCTCGACATTGCAGCAGGCCGCAACATCACTTTCAACCGGCCTCATGACTCCTCTCGCATCGACGTCACAGCAGGCCGCGACTTTGCCTTCGACCGGCCTTCCGAGCCCAACGCCTACTACCACTCCAACGAGCTTTGAGTACACGTCGAATGACCTGTCACTTTCCACAAGGTACATCATGGAGAGTTCGATAGCCAAGGGAACCCCAGGTGCATAATGTGCATTGGCTACGAGGACCCGGTTTCTCATGGCCTCAACGACAACTTTCTAAAGCAGTGCTACTTTCCAGACCCAAAAGACAAATGCATGGGCTATTCGTTGCACGGCATCGTGTAACTCCAGAAATGGCCTCGTGAACAACAACATGTGGAGCCCTACCACTCGCCCTACATGCTCCTCAAGCCCGTTCCTAGTGTTAAGGTCTCCTGTTTATTTATTTATTGCATAATGCCAGCCACCTCTTGGTGGCCAAGGCAGGAGTGATACAAACTTTCATACTTGCAGCCACATATAGCACTACACTTCACAGCGCAGAAATAAAATCACCACATAACAGGTTTTCCTGGAACATGAATACTCGGGTTACAGGAGCAACACAAGAGCAGTATCGAAAATACAATCCAAATTTTTGTTCCTAACACGAAGTGTAAAAACATCATTAGAAGAATTGAAATCTGCACATACGACCAGACAGCTTTTACTACAAACAGGCAGTGGCAGCTGATAAGAATGCGTCGGGCGCTGCGATGCTGGTGACGTCATGAGGTAGTTCATTCCAGTCGGAAATTGTTCGTGGAAAGAATGAATATCGCCGAGAATTTGTTTTTGTAAGCGGCACCATTATGGTGTTATCATGCTTGTTCCGAGTTTTTCGCGATGTATTGCAGTGCATGTAAGTGTTAAAGGCGAGTCCTGAGTGTCCGTTGACTTTGTTATAAAGGAATTTTAAGCGATGTAGCTTTCTACGGGACTCCAATGTGGGAAGAGCGCATATATTACGGAGTTCAGTGACTGAACAGTGTCTACTGTACGCGTGGTAAATAAACCGAAGGGATTTATTTTGGACTCGTTCTAGTAAGTATATTTCTGTTTGTGTGTGAGGATCCCATACAACGTCAGCATATTCCAACAATGGGCGTACCAATGTAGTGTAAGCAACTAGTTTTGTTTTGCTGGTGCAGTGCCTCATGCGATGCTTTAAAAACCACAATCGCCGCAGTGCTGCTGATGTTATACCTTATAAGACCAAGCAAGTCGAGGATTGGGGCGGCGAGCAGTAGTGGTGCTATGAGCCGCACTCAACCGAGTACATGCACACCACGACTGCTTATTAAATCGCTGAATACCAAAAGAAAGTGGCACATAGCACAAGAGACCTGCACTAGATGTACCATCATTGCACCACACAGCTCCAGCACTACACCATGCACATCATGTAGGAAACCCGTGGTAACAAGGACTCTTGCGAAGCGGGACACACCGTGATGGTTATGTCTTCGGGAGACTTCTGCAACGATATCTCCAAGAATGCCATCATGACTCGGACTCATGCACATGACAATGTCAGCTCGATATGCATCATTGTTTGCGATGCCATGACGGATGCTGACAATCTGCTACCGGAAACCGAGCATGTAGATGTATTTCCACTACCTTCAAACGCAGCTGAGATTCTCGTCCTTGGCTAGGTTGCCGCATGATGGAATCAGGATGTTTCGGCATCGTTGTCATCCTCGTCAAGCGAAGAAAAGGAAGAATCGTTGTCGGCTTCAGAGTCTCATGCAGATCAGACGCATTTGTGAGCCAGGCACACGCTAAGAACTACCTGACTGCCAAAATAGTCAAGCTGCGCATGATCGCACGTGCGTACGACAGGAGGCCGATGCCGGACTCTTTTCACTTCAAGAAGCCGTTTAAGCAGCAGAGAACAGACCAGGATGTACAGAGAACAGACCAGGATGTGGTTTTTACATTGTGTCAATGCAACCAGCCATGCCAAGCAGGATTTGGTTTGATTGATTAATTGAGTTCTAACGTCCCAAAACCACCATATGAGAGACGCCATAGTGGAGGGCTTCAGAAATTTCGACCACCTGGGGCTCTTTAATGTGCACCCAAATCGGAGCACACAGGCTTACAACATTTCCGCATTCATCGGAAATACAGCCACCGCAGCCAGAATTTGATCCCGCGACCTGCAGGTCAGCAGCATAGTGCCTTAGCCACTAGACCACCACGGTGGGGTGCCAAGCAGGATAGCAAGCACACCAGGTCCCAGGACGAAAAACTAATGATGACGTATAATGTGACTGCGAAGTCATTAAGGCACTACAGTGAGAATGAACGACTTTCCCTGCAAGACAAGCCGCTGCCTCCCCAAGCTTCACCGTCATTGGCGAAGCCCTTCGATCGCCATGTAACACCTCCTGGCAGACTCAAAGCTTTCTTAAAACATGTGCAACTTTGCCAGCTGCGTGAGTGTGTTACAAATAAAGGAGGAAGAAGAGGCGGTAGGCACGAGCAACAGTGATAGGTGCTGGCTTGCTCCGTTGTTCTGTTACTTTGGATGTTGCCAGACGTGCAGGTCCACGTCTCCTCTTCATTTTTCACTGAGACATCATTCTAGTTGTCTACTTTTTGCACTCATCAGTGTTTCAGTTGCAGTGTTACTGTTGAAAATTGTTGAATCACATTGTGCCAGAATAATTACTAGGAGCTGGCTTTTTGAAATCTCGGCAATGGGTTCTTCACACGAAGAACTTTAATTGAACATAACTGCCTTACTCCACTCAACAAAGGTTAATTCAGCTTCCTAATTTCTATTCTAAATTATGTCTTTAAAAATCTGAAAATGCCTGCCACTGCAGAAAAAGCAAACGTGAAGACAGTGAGCAAATATTGCGTTTTTTTTATTTTTGAAGGTTACTGACATGTTTCGTTCTGGATTAAAAGCTGTTAGCACAGTGCTTGTCTCGCCTTTTTTCTCTTCCAAGGTTTCTGTTATGTTAAGTAAACTCACTCAAGAATAAGATTTTATGGAGACCTTATTGGCTGTAAAAAAGACTGTTCCAAATATTGGCTCTATCGACCTTCGCTGTTCAGGGATTCTACGCATACACCAAGGCTGAAAGGTAGGCGTTGAAAAACCTGAACACCGTCTCTGTTGTGCAAGTGCTCAAGCTTAGCTAATACTATTAGGTCTGAGACACTTGCACATTGTAGCATTGCCTGAAGGTGGACTTGTTTGTAATAGTTTTTTCCTCTGTAATGTTATGCATATTTTATTGCGTGTTACACATGGCAAGAAGGCAGGCAATGCCATGCCCGGTGTTTTTTTTTAGGTCTCAGCGTTCTTGTCGCTTGGTATTGCAGGAGCAGGGGAAATGTGGTGCTATTCCTGCATCAGCAACCAACCGGGCTGCAAGGATGAGGTGAACTGGCTCATTCACCATGCCATCACGTGCCCTCGAGATGATGACAAGTGTGTGAAGATTATCGAACGCAAGGGCTGTAAGTTTGACCACGATGCACCTTTTCTTAAGATGCAGTTACCATAACTTTGTAGTTTCTGGTAATGTATTTATGAGCTTAAAGGGAAATGCGAGTTGTAACACTTTCTGTTTTTGTTTGCTGTTACAAGTTCGATTTCTCTACTTTTACAATAAAAAAAAACTTGAAAATTTTAATTTATCTTCAATTAAGTTAAGATCGTTTTTAAAAGGCACAAGGTGGCTACCGAAAAATTGGCAGATCCCATGTACAGTGGGAATCGATGATATGCGAAGCACGAATGAGGAAGGTTCACGTTAAAGTTAGCTCAAGGTTACGAGGTGGACATAAATTATGCCATTTATCACTTCCATGTCATGATTGTCATGTTTGGACGTGTAATTAGACAGTTATAGTTCCCCGTTAGCATGATAGCCGAGGTTATAGAGGTTAAGGGAATGATGTTACCATGCAGCAAACATTCGTTGCGGACAGTGTCTTATATTTTAGTGGGATAGCGTTTTTGTGGTTTACATGCGCCAGCTCGAATGGTGGCGCCACCTACCGAATGGTTAATACGTTAAAGAACAGTGAAAAGGAAAAGAAAACGAGAATGTTTGGCAGTGCCACCACGCGAAGCAATGTTACAAGTTCATTTTAGTAATAATAAAGTAAATAAGTGGGAACCACGCATCAAACGGGAAAACATTTAAGTCGCCGATTTGTTAACATCGATCTTCTAGTTAGCCCTAGAGACGTTCTAAATTGGATGCTAACTCAAAAATTACACCAGCGTATTCGTAACACTTGTTCATGAAAGCTAACTGAAGGCAAGCGAAGCCATTTTAAACAGTCGTTTGCTGCGAACAAAGTGAATCTTTCAGCAACTTCACCAAAGTCACTTCAAAGCGGGCGTCCGATAGTGCCGCCATGTTTTTATGTACACTATGTACACCTACTTGAAAACGGTAACATTAAATCTGAAAAGTGACGCGTATTGTAAGCGGTACAAGTAACAAACATACTGTGGTAAAAAAACGCTGCCCTGGAGAGTGTGCGGCATGCTTTGACGTAGAAAATTGGTGTGCGGGGCCGATTTAGTATTTAAAGGTGCGCGAGAATCATCATGATGGTGATAGCGGTAAAACTATGAGCGCGCCTATGCACGTGCTCGTGCGCGTTCCACGTGAAAAAGCTCCCGAGCCACGGGGACAGCTCGGCTAACCACAGAGAGCAGAGAGCAAGGACAAGTTCGGGCCACGCCACGGCTGCTCGTTCTGACCCTCCGTGTCCGGGCCTCGTCTCGGCGTTGAAGTCCTCGGGTGCGTCCTGGACTGGGCATCGCCCCATCTCGCCACCCACATTGGTCTGAAGCGGCGTTCGTCCTGGCCAGCTGCTGTTCTGGTCTCGGAGCGAGACGCTGTCCCAGGTCTGTTCGCGGCAGTCGGCGGTACGCTGTTCTCGGTGGTGTATAGGCAAGCCGAGGCGTTGACCACCGTACTGGGATGCCCCTGGCGGTTATCTTCTAGACCGGGCCCCGCCTCGGTACGAACTCCGCAAGCGCAAGGCACACCGCCTCCTGACTACCAGAGAGCTCAAGGTCAAGCGCAACGTTCACGCCCCAAGAGTAGAATGTGAGTGGACGAACAAGAACATTAACTCCCTTTCGCGTAGGACCGTGAACGCGTGTATATATGTGTGAGTTTATGTTGTGTGTATCCCTTTGTTCGTCTTCGTGTATATAAAAGTCTCTCGTTGTCCTCGAACGTCCTCTGTCCTCATCTGGTTAACCTGCGCCCACAGTTGCCCACAAATTTTGGCGAGCCTGCCAGGATAGATTGGTCTTACCTTCTTGCCGAGAGCCAGACGGGCGGGATGAACCGATGGATTTAGAGAAATCGCACGCGATCGGAACGGACATGGGTCTAATAGAATCGGCACTGCAGGAATGGGTTGACGCGGAGCGCGTTATCGAAATGGACCTTCGTGCACAAGTTCGCGATGAGCAGCGAGAAAAGATAGCGCTGGAGGAAAGACGGCTGCAAGCCGAGGAGCGCGTTTTGCTGTTGAAGCTAAAGTTGCAAGAGCAGAAGACTGGTTCGAACGCGGGAGAGATAGGGAGACCGGTAAGCAATGACGCTGTGTCCCCAGCTGTAATGGATAGCTGTGGCCCGCACAAGCTATTGCCACCGTTCAACAAGATGCGAGATGACCTCGACGCATATCTGCAGCGTTTTGAGCGCGTTGCGGTGCCTCAGGAGTGGCCTCGGAGCAAATGGGCCTTTTCGCTCAGCTTGTGCCTGACGGGAGAGGCGTTATCCGTGATTAGTCGACTTGACTCTGCTTCCGCCACCGACTATGATCAGGTGAAGGCAACATTGCTGTTACGATTCCGCTATACGGCTGAAGGATACCGTGAGAAATTTCGCAAGACGAGACCAGAGGACAAGGAGACGGGGCTCCAATATGCTTCTCGCATGCAGGTCATTTCGACCGTTGGATGGAGCTGGCAAATGTCGAGAAAACATATGACGCTCTTCTCGATGTAATGATTTCAGAACAGTTCATGAAGGGATGCTCACCCACCCTTAGGGTATTTCTGAAGGAGAGGAACTGTAAGAAATTGCACTCTTTAGCGCAGAACGCAGACTGCTTTCTGGAAGCCCAAGATTTGTTCAATTTGGGCAAGGATAAGCTATCTAAGGAGAGCTCAGCAGATGCTCGTATAGCAGAAACTGCGAAGCGCCAGTTCAAGGGCCAAAGTCTCTGTTTCTTGTGCAATAAGACAGGGCACCGTGCGTCTGAATGTTGGTCTCGGACAAGAAATAACCAGTCGGCAACAAGCTGGTCGAGTGGCAGAAACGGCTCGTCTGTGGAGACAACTCGAACCCAGGGAAAGCAGTTGGCGTCGTGCACGCTGTCACCCAAAGAAGGAGACAACGCTGACACACCGGAGAAACCGGATGAAGGGTACGTCGTACTCCAGACTGGGGAGACTATCCCGGTCGTGAATATGACGTCGACGCATACCCCAACTGTGGCTGATGTGGGAACTCGGCCTGTAGTGAGAGGATTGCTTGAGGGCAAAACTGTATCTGTACTTCGAGATACGGGATGCAACACGGTAGTGGTACGAGAAAGGCTCGTCTCGAAAGGGAAGTTTACGGGCACTACAAGTCCGGTTTTTCTGCTCGACAGAACAGTGCACAACTTGCCGGAGGCAATCGTTTCTATTGACACACCGTTCTTCACCGGTGTCGTGCGAGGTAAATGCATGAAGAACCCTCTTTACGATGTCGTGCTAGGCAACATCGAAGGTGCCTGATCTACAGAGCTAAAATATTCGCACAAGCCTCAACAGCATCGTGAGAGGCATCGTGATTACAGCGGAGGGAAGGTAGTCAGAAAACTCGCTAACTCGCCCGTGCCCATCATCGCGGACGACACGCAAAGTGATGTCGGAAAGGATTCAGGCTGCTTACCAATGACAGTAGAGACAACTTGCACACCTCATAGACCCGCAGATCAAGTACCACTAGGTGATAGTGCTGCAGCAGTGAAAGAAACACGCGCCACAACCAGGCTACCTGTTCTGAAAGCCACTGCCACAATCATAGATAAAGTGACGCTTGAGGAATACCAAAGAAATGACCCATCGTTACGGCAGTGTTATGAGAGTCTTGGTAAAAAGTTAATAGTAAAGAATCGCGAAACCTGCTTCTTTCTTGTAAATGGTATCTTTTTTCTTGTAGATTGTATCGGAAACACAAGCTACTCTCGGAGAAGGAACTCGAACAACTGGTCGTACCGAGACAACTGCGAGAGACTGTGCTCAAACTAGCCCATGAAGGTATCCTCGCGGGACACCAAGGGATATCCCGAACAACTGACCGTATTCTTGCCGAATTCTTCTGGCCAGGTGTTCAATCAGAAACCAAGAGGTTTGTGAAGTCCTGCGATATCTGTCAGCGGACTGTCCCGCGCCATTTGGTTGTTCGGGCTCCGCTAGGTACCATGCCAATCATTGAGACCCCGTTTTCACGTGTGGGCTTCGACATCATCGGTCCTTTGTCACCGACATCTTCCAAGGGCAACAGGTACATTCTAACCATGGTGAATTTTGCAACGAGATATCCAGATGCCATCGCACTTCCTTCGAGTGAAAGCAAGGTCGTGGCAGAGGGACTAATGGAAATGCTGTCGCGAGTTGGTCTACCACGCGAAATTGTAAGCGACCGCGGGACAAGCTTCATGTCGTTGGTTATGAAGGAGTTCAGTCGGCTACTATCTATCAGGCAATTACCGACAACCCCTTACCATCCGATGGCAAACGGGTTAGTGGAACGATTCAACGGCACGTTGAAGCAAATGCTCCGCCGAATGAGTCGGGAAAGCCCGAAAAATTGGGACCGCTACCTCGGCCCCCTCCTTTTCGCGTATCGGGAGATGCCGCAAAAGAGTACCGGATACTCGCCGTTCGAGTTGCTTTATGGCCGATACGTTCGCGGCCCAATGACGATTTTGAGAGACTTGTGGACTAACCCAAAGTTGGATGACGCGACCAAGTCAACCTACGAATACATCGTGGAATTTCGGGAAGGTCTGCAACGAACCTGTGAAATAGCATCTCAGGACCTTGCGAAGGCACATGTTCGTCAGAAGACTTACTATGATCGCAAGGCGAAGAAGCGGGACTTAAGCGTGGGTGACAAAGTTCTCGTGCTGCTACCCGCCGATAACAACAAACTGATACTAACATGGAAGGGCCCCTTCATTTACTGCGACAGACAAGAAAAGCCCATTGGATTATGCTGTGCACCTCGGTGACCGAACAACTGTCTTCCACATCAACATGCTCAAAAAGTACGAGCTGCGGAATGCCTCGCCATCGTGTGGGGTGTCCAAAATTTCATGTGTACCTCTACGGCAGGCCATTCGTTTTGCAATCAGACCACCAGCCACTGAAATACATCAACTCTGCCCACAAATCAACACACGAGTGCTACACTGGACTCTAGGCT